TGTTACGCAAAAACCGCGATAGAGTGAAGCCGCGGAAGTCGAAGCGCAAAGTGGCGAGGGTTCACTGTATTAGGTGATTTTGAAGGGGAAACAAAAACACATTTTCCTCAAAAAGAGGCCTGTTAGGAGAGTGCTGGCGCACAGTTTGCTGTTGGTGCACATCTGGGGAATGGGTGAGGGAGGGAGGGAAAGGCAGAGAGGCAGTTCCCTGTGGATTTGCTCAGTGTCTTGCTTTCTCCTGCAAACCTTCCCAAGCCAACATGGCCGTCTGCCTGGGCAGGAGTAGTACAAAGGGAGTCTGGTCACGCTCCGGAAGTTGTTTTAGGACCAGGAGCTGGCTGGTTCAAAAGCCTCTCCTGGTGTCAATTTCTATTTCTCTGGACACCTCTCCTCAGTGGCTGTGAATGTCTGAACCATCCTGAGGATCCAGCACCCCGTGGGTTCAATCCTTTGGAATTGCCTTTGTCTAGAAATAGTTGTCTTCTGAGATTTATGCTTTCCCTCTTAGCCTAGTCTTCCAAATCTGCCCTACTCTCTGTTTCATTGTCTAGTTGCTGGCCTTATTCTTGTTTCAATCTTATTTAAACCTTGCAGCCCTGTGTAAGTAAGAAATTTAACCCATCTTGGGCATCAACTTAGGTCACTCTACTGGACCCTTATACAGCACTTAGAACCATAGGTTTATTTTTTTTACATAGCACAGACTCATAGTACCTTTAATACTTAACTGTATTTTTACACAGTCCATGAAAAAATGTAGAAGGAATCAGTATTAAACTCCTCTCCTATCAGTGTTTCTCTTTCCAGAAGTGTGTGTGTCTGTGTGTGTGTGCATGCGCACCTGCGTGCGAGAGCAAAACTGTTCTTCCTGAGAAAGGCTGTTCTATACAAGACTATCTATATGCTATAACTCTGTATCTGCATTCTTTAAGAGCAGGACTTTGTATACTGTTATGCTACACCTGGTTTTTCGTTTTAAGATTTTATAGTTTATTAATTCTCTGGTGAAAAATTCACATACAAAGAGGTAGACCCCAAATAACAATGCTCATTTGTTTTTTTGATGTGAGGGGATAGTGCATTTGGAGTGTGTCCCAACAGGTCTCACTGTTAATCAAGCTTTCTATTTACAGGTTCTGAAAAGACTGCATTAACAGTGTGAGACAAAAAAGGCCTGATTTGTGGCAGATGGGGGACTGGTTTTGCCACCATGACAATTCAGCTGCTCACACAGCTATGTCAGTGCACCAGTTTTGGGCATAAACAGCTTAACTGTCTTGCCTCATGAACCTGACTCACCTGACCTTGCTCCATGCAATTTCTTTTTGTTTCCTCGAATGAAGAGGGAAATGAAAGGACAGTGATTTGAGGATGTAGAAGAGGTGAAGACAAAAATGAGGCAGGTGCTGTCAGCCATCCAAACAGATGAGTTTGAAAATTTTTTCCAAGAATGTAATCACAGATTTGACAAATGTATTAAGTGTAATGGAGAATATTTTGAAGGTGATAAGAGTGTTTTGTAAAAAAAAATCAAAATAAAATAAATACAAAAAAATTAACTACATTGTTTTGGGAAAAAATCCTGTTTTGGGGGGATTCCCCTTGTAATAATCGCAGATGAAGTCACTGTGGAATCGTTATTCTTCCTGTTATCCAGCTCACCGCGGCCAGTCCCCACGCCGGCCTTGGCCCTCCCCCGACGTTCTTGACTCTGTTCTTGCGTTCCTGGCGCTGCTTTCTTGAGGCCCTGTTCTTCTCGTGCAGGCCCTAACTGACTCGCAAGTCTGTGTTTAGGTTCATTTTCCTTTGCATGAATCGTCAATCACGCCAAAGCCAGTAGTCTTGCCACCACCAAAAGAGGTTCTAAATCATATACAAAAATGACATCTGGGGCGGTCGGGTACGCTTTGGTTAGTTTTTTCACACATTTCTGTCTTAAGCGCTGTTAGACCGGGTTGACTACAGAAACAAATTCGTTGACACGCATGTGTGTGAGAGAGAGATGGAAATCAAAGAGCAACTGTGTATTGAGAAAATATCCCAGCCCAGTCCAGATCAAGTCCATTACTCCGACATTACCCCATATATCTGATACTAGCCCATAAACTCCTCTTTAGACTCAAGCAGCACAAGCAATGATGCCAAGTGCAGGAAGATCACAGTCCAATGGGTGGGAAGTCAGCATCAAGAATCAGGAGGCTCCCAAAATCCTCATGTGAAGGTCACGCCCACCAGGAGGGGTCATCAGGCTGTGACCTGATTGACAAGTTAGACTCCACCCCTTCATTCTTTTATCAAGTTGACAGGAAATGGTGTAACTGCCACCGGCACTGCCGCCTTCCCAGGAGGAAGGACATCAACGACTGAGCAATGTTTTTGCTGAAGTAGCCATGTTGGTCATGGACTTACTTCTATTCCAAAAGGCACATACGTCATAGCTAGTGTGATGTTGTTGTGCATGTGTGGCGTGGGTGTTATTTCTAACCTTTTGCTCTAAGACCTACAAATGAGTTACCAGCGAGTCCATGCTGATTTACAGCAGCACTTGGTGTGTCTAGAGTCAGAGTGTGCTTTTAAGGGCCTTCCGATAGCTGATCTTGCCAAAGAAGATCTCCAGGCCTTTATCCAAGGGCCGCTGGGCAGATACGGACCTCCAGCATTGCCATTAGCAACTGAGTGCACAAAGCGCTTGAAGCGGCTCGTTGGGTTAACCACCGCACCAGTCAGAGACCCCCCCTCACCCCCACTCCCTCCATTACGATTATAAAATATTTAAATAATCGGACCTTAAAACAGAGCGGGACCTGAGCAGTAATGTTTCCCAAATGCAGGCATTGTTCTGTGTTATTCGGGATTGCCTAGCCTCTTCTGACACATCCAATGAAATTGTTTCAGGGAGGAGCGCACTCCATTTCCAAGTGTTTTGTGACAAAGGTCTGTATCTTCAACTCTGCCCGGCTGGCCCATTCCTAATCCCTCCTGTATTTCTTGTCTGGTCTCCACAGCTGAGATCGAAGCTCTCACCCTGGGCCCTGGGCTCTCGTGCTCCTCTTTTTAGCTGCAATGGATTTGGCCCCTGACTCATGGTGAGACCATGTGAGACCATGCACAACATATTACTGTCTAGTCCGGTGCTGTCTGTGCCCACGAGCAGTTGTGAATTGGACGATTGCTTTCCAAAGGGTTTTTATTGGCTAATTTCCAAAGTAGATCACCAGGCCTTTCTTCCCAGACAGGTTTTGTCTGGAAACCCACTGAACCCGGTGTGGCAGCAGTATCAGATCTCCTTATCTAATGTCACCAGAGGGTAGGGGAGTCATTATCAGCATCTACAGTCCTAGGCTGATTGTGAAGTTGTGGAGCTCAGACTACCTTCCACCCACCAAGGTTTTGTTACCAGTCCTGACAGCTGTTTCTTCCACTGCACGATCTACTGCTTTACTGGAAGACCCAGCTTGTACCTTGAGAAACTAGAAAAAGAAAAGGCAGTTAGAACCAGAGTAGAGTAAAAGGAATGATGATGACCACAAAGGGAACAAAATAACTAAATAAAAAAAATAGGAAAAATCAATATACAAAGTGAATAATTGGATAAAGAAACTTTAAAAAATACACTTTATATAGGATCCAAAACATATCAAATACATAGAGATGAAGCTAATAAAATATGAGCAAGACTCCCCAAAAAAATCCCCCCAAAACACCAAACTCGCTGCCATCAAGTTAATGCCTACGCATAGTGACCCTGTAGGAAGGGGTAGACCTGCCCCGGTGAGCTTCCAAGATTGTAACTCTTTACGAAAGTATATACAAAGTCCTGTCTTTCTCCTGCTGAGTGGCTGGTAGTTTTGAACAGCTGACCTGGTGGTTAGCAGGCCAACACATTAAGAATATGCCACCAGAGCTAAACTACAAAACACTGCTGAAAGAAGCTAAGGAAGACCTAACTAAAGGGAGAAACACCTTGTTCATGGGTCAGAACACTCGATATTGTTAAGAAGTTAACTTTCTGAAGATTGATTTGTGAATTCAATTCAATCCCAATGAAAATGTCATCAAGTGAAATGTGCTACCACATGGATGAATCTTGAAAACATTGTGCTAAATGAAAAATGCCAGGCACAAAAGGCCACATGT